TGAATTGCACCAACGTAGTACGGTTTACATTTCATATCATTATTACTGGTATATTGTATGAAAGCGAATTTTTTCTACAATGAAGATGAAGTCAGCATTTTAATACATTGATATGATAGTACATCCAACTATACACAATTCAAGATATCACGTATAAGCATTTGTCACCCATTGGCAAAAATCCACAATTTTCTCTTGCAGATAGAATGCTTCGACAATATTAATATGACGAATATGTGGTGAAGCACCACTGGGGACGCTTTTCCGTCGCTTACTGTACTGACAGCGAAAAAGAATTCACTAATACTTCGGGGATTGCTTCCTATGAAGGGTATTTACCTCCAATAGCAAAGTCTGCAGTACTATACGGACAGTGTGCTAGAATGCTGATAACGACGGGAAATTATCCCCAATGGTACTTCACCATAATTTCGTTATTTTAATATTGTCGCAGCACTCAAGGCTTAAGCAGAAAATTTAGCATTTTTAGCCAATGGATGTCAAACACTTCTACGACCCTATACACTATATCATGCATGATTTATATTGGATATACTATCAAATCAATGCATTTACCTGTTCAATTCATCCTCGTTGTAACAATATGTCGCAATCATACAATATAAATAATCATATTATGTCATCCAAACCGTCCTTCGTTGGAACATTCAATCCTGCAACAACTTCACAAACAATAAGAAGTATAGCTCACGCCATAGAGCTCCCGCTCGAAGCCCGTGTGATACAGGGCTCATTAAATGATGTCCATGTACATATTTCTTCAAAAAGTATTATTAGGGCGGGTCTGGATGCCACAAAAAATATCAGAAAACAGCCATTTCTCAACATTTTAAAAAATATTGGGTTTCTTCATTTCTCAAATTTGGCCTGTCTGTCTTCCAAAATTGACATAAAATACATCACAAGAATTACCTGAAAGAAAAAAATTTCACCATTTCGCGTTGACAATTGATGGGTCTTCTGTGGTTTTAGCTGACAATCTTGACTGTCATTTGTCTGTGGCGTCGCGAGATATGGTGTCGTCTGAATTGTTTAGCGTTTTGGACCATTGCCCAAGAATTCGACAAGTGCACTCCAATCTTTTTGGATGTTGGTGTCATGGGGCCATTGATGACAAAATTCATTACAAATGGCTTCACGAAAAACCGGTAGTGCCTGCAGCCGAGAAACGCGTAGCTATGATTAAGTGCATCATTGAAGCATAGAAGGACATACCATGTGAAAGCATCACTCGCTCTCTTGAAAATGCGTTGCCACGGACTCCTGTGATGTAGCTTGGCACTTGAAAATATTCTACATTTTCGAAATATTTGCAGTTTTCAGAAATATTGTAGTATTTGTTGCTGGTCGTCGTGGTCTTGGCTGACAGTGAATTTGAAGTGTACTCTATTCTACCAATCATCGTGGATATGGAACTTCAATTCGACAACAACTTGAATAAAAGCGAGTTCGATCCTCTTGATAGTTTTACCTATTCTTAAAAAAGGAATGCTGTCAATTCTCGTTCAGGGTAAACTAATTGCCTATACAAATTTTAATATATTTCTCTTGTACCACTGGGGACATTTTCTGCCGCTCACTGTATGCCAATACGTCCTCTGTTCCAAAATAAGTGCGCGAAACAGAAGTTTGATGTATGCCCCCTCGAATGCAATCCTCGAATAAAATACAGCTCATTCAATTTTGAATACGTCAATATCGATTTATACAGTTGTATCCATACGTTTGGCCAATCAAATGAGGGCTCTTGGTAATTCTGACACTGCCATTCGATTCAGGAGGGGGGTCGAATCATGGCAGTTATACTTGTTCGCCAGGTCTGGTCTAGGCCCTTTGTCAGCCTGGTCATGCACGTGGCTTTGATGTAAAGCTGGACATCGCGAAGAATGGGCTGGAGCTTGTCGTCGGTGAGGTTCCTTCTTTTGATTATGACGTTAAGAATGTTAGAAGTTGTTAATGTTTGTTTTATATGAATATTTATATTTTACTTCTGAATATGAATTCAAATGAAAGCAGTTAATGGACCAAAATTAGAACACTGTACTTTTATGGAGCCATAAACCAACAACAGAATTTAGATCCTACATGGGACTGACGATCTTATAAGTATTTCTAACTCGTCCTTGACAAGATGAATCGTCATACTGTGGCTCCACCAGCTGATCGACACTGCCCGCGTCGTTCACAAGTTCATTTGCCAAGTGTTTTGCGATAGTTATCTTTCTAGTGTGTTATCCTCTTGTGATATTGTGGGGGTGATCAATACATCCAATATTGACCACCTTTGCACAATTGTCGAGTCCATGACGACATGAGTTGCAGCATATCATGTATTATCTTGACTTTACGACAAGATTTTTATTATCTTGACTTTACGACAAGATAATACATGATATGCTGCAACTCATGTCGTCATGGACTCGACAATTGTGCAAACTGTACTTCATTCATAAACTTGTCGTAAAGTCAAGTTTATGAATGAAGTACAGTTTTCCTTCGTACTGTGCATACAAAAGCAAAGAAAAATATGACCAAAAGCAATGTTTCCAATTTTACGGAATGGAGGAAGTACACCACATGCAATCTCCTTTCAGGACGTTCTACACCATGCCCGTTCAAAGTGGCCAAACCAGCAATCAATGCGGCTCCGATGTTATTATTTCTTTGAAAGTCCAGGTACATCTTAATTGATTTTATTCAAAATGGTTAATCTGAAATCAATGTGGCCTACCTGTAATTTCGAATTCAATCAAAACTGTATTGACAAAGGTTTGATTCTGTCATGCGAACCAAACTCATACACAATAAAAAGATGCCAACAGAAACAGAGAAAACTCATGTTTTGGCAGTGTTCCATTAACCAAAAGAGGGGAAAGCAGTGGCCTCTCACAATGGAGTCGTTCGTTTGACGACAGCTCGACGTGTGATTCACAGCACCGTGCCAGTCGACTCAGCCGGGGTGCAATGCACGCGCGCACTGACCAAGATTGCACCAGAGATGTCCTCACGTCGTTGCATTGTCTTGTGTCCGTCCACGCAAAGCTAGTCGACTGGAGAACATGCACAATGGAGAGTAACCTACCTGGCCAACATGTTTTGACCGAATTTGAATTACAGGTTGGCACAATGATTGCACATTAAATCACTTTGAATGAAACAGATTCCAGATGTACTGAACTTCGACGTTCGAATAACTTCAGAACCACATTAATTGCTGGTTTGGCCACTTTGAACGGGCAGTGGTTTAGTCTGTCTCCCTTGAAGAGGAAAAGCGAGTGCATTCATGGGGTGCAATCAGAGAGTTCTGCGTGCATCCTGCAAAAATTAATAGATGCACAACTAATACAAATCATATAATGTACGAGGGATACGATGTCGTGGTGGCTGCCCAAGGATGACAAGCCACCTTGCAGTGATCTAAGCTGAAATGTCACGTGCGGAAGTGAAGTCGCGCTAGGTTGTGTCAAGGAAGAGGTGCACATTGGTTCGGAAGATACGCGCGTCGAGCTCGATGTCTCCAACGTGGAGTCAATTATGGCCAAGTCGTTTCTGAAATTTAAAAATGAGAGCTTGATGGTTAATTTGACACTTTTTCGGAGTTGGTTTGCAGAAAATACTCCAGACATATATAAAATCTATGGCACCTGTTAAACCTCATGTGACAAAACGTGAAATTCATCAAATTCACGGCAGCCTGAGCTCTGTCTGTAAAACCAACGGCCACCCTCTGTCCGACAAAACAAGTGTGGAAGTAGAGGTAAACGAGAAGAAATGGTGGACGGAGGAGGAAGACACAAAACTCTTGACCCAAATCAATAGCATGAGTCCTTTCTGCAAAGAAAGGACACTCGCAAGGCATGAGACACCATGGCTGCATCGTTGAAAGAGGCGGACGGTTACACGTGTCCAGACATCGACGCCAAGAAAGCGCTCATGTTCCTTGTTCGCCACTACATTCAACAACAACGAGTCGGGACGACGTTCTGGGGCCAGCGAGGAAGAGACGCCGAAGATCCGCCTCCTCGATGATCTGGTTTCACTACACAACGATGCTGCGACGACGTAGAAGGCACACGTGCCGTTAATGGGAAGTGAGGAAAAGATTGTCAATGTCAAGTTCATACGAGAGCAAGAAATAAATACATATTATATTAAAAAAGAATTACATGCTTCGTGAAAAGCGCAAATCCGTGGAATCGAGCGTTGGATCGGACAACGGCGACCTCAGCAAGACGTTGGTTTTTGAAGCACAAGAGAAGGAAGATGAGCTGGAGAAAGAATAGCTTGCGTTTAAAAGGGGTCAAGTTCGAGCGCGAAGTCGAGGAGCGCGGGAGATCAGGCCGAACGGAAGTTGGAGTGACAGGTGTGCCAACAGATACATTATACACTTTATTATTAAGGCATAAAATGTAAAATTTTATGCTACCATCGTGTTAAATACTCTTTCAGAGTTGTTAAGTTGAAGTACGAGCTAGTTTGGTTTTTGCCGAAATGACGTGTTTGACAATATGTAAATAGCATTGCCAGGCAAATCGTTTTTCCAACGCCTTGCAGCAATATTTTGCTGCATCTTGTACGTCACAATTGCCAAATGAGATTTAATTTGACAGAAGCTCCACTCCACTGCTTGGAGGACGCGACTCATGATGCGTTGAAATCGTGCATCCGGGGATCGTTCAATTGATCTTTATATCCGCTGCAAACCGATGGCAGTACTGCATACACCAGGTCACATTAAATTTGGTGAGACCCAAATGTCTCCGTACGCATATCCATGTAATTCTTTACCTTACATTCTATGTGCAAAGTGGTGTGTGTCATGCCGTGAACCCTCAATTGGGCCCCAAAAATGAATACACAGACTGTTGGGAGCTGTGATGACTTGGAAATTGGGACACTGATGACGCTTTTATCAGGGATGGAAAAAAACTCTAATACTTTTAGAGGAAATAAGGTTATAGGTCAAAAACATTAAAACCTCAAAATGAGACCATAAACCTTAGGTTGTATTCTGCATACTGTTCCACTCCACTCCTCTGCTCTTCGCTGCCCGACGGATCATCTTCGGCCTCATCGTGCAGGGCGTAGTCGTAGAACGCTGGCAAGTTGCTTTCGATAAATGTCAGCTTGTCGCGTTCTTCGAGTTCAATGTCGACATCGTTGCTAGCAGTCTCAAAGGCTATGGCAACGCCGTTGCTATATCAGGTGCAATCATGAGCTACATTTTTAGCTTTATTGACGGTACAAATTTGGAAACGTGTCGTAAAAACTCAAAAGCGCAATCGTGCTGCGACCGCGGTGACCTTCAGCGCCTGATATATAGTGGGTATAAGCCAGGGATGGCACGAGTAGGTTTTTGCGCCTAAGTTATGAAAGGTTTTTCATTTAAACCGCACCTCCATCTGACTCAGAAATGATTTTAATAAGGTTCTATTAATAAATAATATTATTGACAACCTTAATATGCCCGTAATACCGATAAGTCGTTTTGTCCGGCGGCGTCCGCGGCCTGACCGCGCAGTGTTCCACGACCTGTTTAGAACGTCCCCAGAAATCTTTCTACGTATATGCCGCAACACTCGCCATAAAGCTTTTCAGCATGGCGACGTCGAGTGTCGCCTCAGAGCGGAACTTCTCATGAGTTCGAATCTCATCCTCCCGGTAGGGAAAATAGTTCAATCCACCATTGGCTTCCAACATTCCAAGTTCCGGAACCGCCTGATGTACTGTACACGTGCTCGTGACATTGTTCGAACAGCATGTCCACAATGCAATTCAAAATTTGACAGATCGATTCACGCGAGCGACCTAACGACACCATCATATCGCAATAGCGGCGAGGATATGACATTCGATTGAGCAAACACACAGAGCGTCAATGCAAAGGCAACGATCTCCTGTTGTGGTCAGCTCGACGTTGGCAACACCAAAGAGTGCACACAGCTCCATGATCCCATCACCGTCGAAGCGGAACTTCAACGTACAGTCGACGTTTGTGAGATTCGCCAAGTTAAACTGCCCCTCAGGGACAAGCGGTAGCTCAACAGCGGACAGCATGATGCGCAATAGTCACATGCGGTGGCGGAAGAGGTACTTGTGTCATCGGCATGTGAACTCGCCCACAGTAAGGATTGAGAGGTTGTATGACGGCTACTGGCGTGATGTTGTTAGGGCAAATGACGGATAGGACGAGGTACTTGTGTCATCGGCGCATGAACTCGCCCACAGTAAGCATTGAGAGGTTTTATGACGGCTACTGGCGGGATATTGTTAGGGCAAATGACGGATACATCAAGAGTTCGAAACCAATAGTTCGTCGTTGTGCCCTTGCCGTTAATTTTTGAGAAACGTAGCGAACCATTCATCGGTCACTTTGGTGAAGAACTTTGACGCTGTATAACTTCATGGATTATTCTCGGTTGGAGCTGATATACACATCATCGTGGCCGCCAGATCAAGGTCCTGAACGTGATATGCAAATAAATCAGGTTAGACAGTTCAACGTGGTTGGGGATTTTTGAATTCATGACAAAAACAATGCGAATCAATGATCGGCCGCTGTTTAACTTGGATATTGTATACCAAAATTGGTGATTTTGAATCGGCACCATCATTAGATCTATCAAATATTAGAGAATTATGAAGTGTGAAGAGGTAAGAATTTTGGGAATAGTGGTTGAGGAAATTCCAGAAACACGGGACGAGACGTTCATGGGACGAGGCGCCAATGGGACAAGGCTTTTAATGGCGCCACCAGTTTTCATGAAATTTATACCACATTTTTGATTTTGCCACCAACTAGACAAGTGTTCGCCTTAAACTCTCCGAAAGGAGGGGGCAGTCCCAAGCCAAACACTCCACCATCCCAAGTACTGGCTTTCCACCGGGGCGGCCTCTGGTCTAGATGAACCATTCGGGGAGATAACCCGGGGTGATGGGGCAGAGGTGTTCTCGAGTTGTGGAAATCCAAGATTATTCGTGGATGGGACCCCCTGGCTAAAATGGAAAGTCTTTTGGCGGCAATTTCGAAAATTAAGATTTCATGGAATTTCTTGAATAAAACATTTCATGTGCGTGTTTTCGATTGTCTAAAGAACTGCAGTTTCAAGGACTTTTGGTAAAGAATTTGTTGCGTTTTCGGTGTCATTCCCAGGAACAGTTTTGTTTTCTTCAAATTTGCAGCAGCAGCTTGCTCTTGAAGTTGCTAATGGTAATTGGCTGTAATATACATGCCACTTCCGTAATTGTTTTCTGTTCGAACGCTTTCTTTTCAAAGGAGGTAAAAGTAGGACGACCTTCCGGACAGCTTCTTCACGACGTAACCAGGACAAGTCACCTTCTTCTGAACGTTCAGCTTGGGGTTTCAACTGTGGCAATCGGTGCATCATGGCCTCCAAACTTGGGGGGCATAGTCCAGTGGACACAAAGCCAGAGATGATGTTTGCAGGCTTTGTTGAAGCAGCCCAAACTTCGCAAGTAGTTGACACCGCATTTTGCTTGGTGACATTGGTCTGTAAGGAAGCCCCCATGTCTGCATGTAACTTGGCGCGGAATGCGCAATTGAAGGATCGAACACATTGGCGTCCAAAGGTTGAAAAAGGTGTGTCGAGTTGGCAGGCAAAAATAGGAGCAAAATCTCCAAACGATTGGCTTCCTCAACAATGTAGTCAGGACAGTGCGCCGAACATCCATCCACGATCAACAAAATACTACTCTGGTCCACATTAACTGTCCCATTGTTTTGACTTGATTAAAGTATACTGGCCAAGCTCGAAATGTCTTGAAGTTTGTATTGGTCTCCGAAAAGCAAT